TTTTATGGAACACTAATTCTGTACTGCTTTAAAAGTATTCGCAATTACCAACATGTATTGATAGTTTTAGTCAAAACTTTGGATGCCAATTGCTGAATAACATGACCTACGTTTATTTTTTCAACTTTGTTTAATGATAAATGGATGAGAATCAGTAGAAAATGTGAACTCAGTTCAGAGAGGAATCATGAACATAAATTAGTTTGTATTAAAGTGGCTGTACTGAGCTTACAGTGATGGTCACAATAAGTTCGCTAACTCTTCTGCCTCTCATCTATTGTTAGAACGCTTGAACAACAGATGATTCTCAAACTTGTAATACTAATAAAAGTTGTGGCTTTATATATTTAATCCTATGTTATCTCATAGAAACAAATAGATCTAGACTTTTGCAGGTAAGTTTACCTTCCAGCTCTTCCTCTTCGTCTTCGTCATCGCTCGACTCGCTGATGTGCACCGTGATAGACCTGCTTGTCACAGGGGTCCAGTCAAAATATATGCCAAAGCCAATGTCAAAACCGTCTGTGGCAAACTCCCAGCACACTTTTTTGGCCTCGGGGACGGTGGGGACGTGAACCGTCATGATGTCTCCTCGGTACACTGTCACAACGCTGTCCTTCTCAGTTCGAAACTTTGCCTTCAGCTCCTTCACTGCAGCAGATGTCCAAGTTGTTGGAGGCGGCAGAGTTGGCATCTGGGCTGCCTCTGGGTGGAGAAGAAACATCAGTTGCAGAAGAGCAAATTTGGTGTTTTTAAAGCATATGGCTCACTACGCATTGCCCGTTTAGAGACATTTATAATAAAAACGAAACAAATTACTCTAGGAAGAAGTTTTAGGTATTCAGTATCAGTGAGGTGTTTAAAATTATAATCAATAAATGTTGCTAAAAGAGCCAGTATTTTCTTCAGGGAAGCATCAAGCCAGTTACTACTTTTCTATTGTGCTTTTCCTTTACAGTTGTTAAATAAGGAGAATGTTAAGGAGATGAATGAATTGATCTAGAGTGAATTGCAGCATATACAAGAACACTCTTCAGTCTGGATGTTGTAACAGAGGGAAATAGAGCTAACATTTAGCAATTTTCTTTCCCAGAAGGATTTTTAAATTCGAGTCAGGAAGAATAGACACAGAGGAAACAGATTCTGTGGCATGTCGTTAGGTCTGTCACAATAATACATTTAGCTGGACAATAAATTGTCCCAAAAATTATTGCAATTAACTATTTTCTTTTATTCCAGATATTATCATTTGAGACCATTTCCAATGATATAATAATGATGCCATTAATGGAAGTATGACATCTCAAAGATCAAAAAAACATTTAACACTAAAAATTGAAGACATTGTAAATATCCAAAAATAAACTAAACAACTGAAACAATAATTAAAACTGATTATGAAGTTTCTGTAACCAAGATTATATTAAAAAAAATATGAATCATTCAGCTTAAATGGGCAAAAGTTGCATTTGGGCCTTTTGTAAAACTAACCACTACATATTGGGTGTCAAATGTTTGCATTGACTCTTCATTACACATTTTTCAAAATGTCTAAGTTTCAACAATATTTCAACAATATTACAGGAGAGCATCTTTTTAATGATTGTTGTCCAAATGGAAAATTTAATTTATAATGTAAATAATTGGTTTATTACTTATTGTGACAGGCTTATTTGATGCCATATGTCTGAGGTTCATTTAGGCTGCAAGACAGAGAGAGCAGGACTTACAGTGCACAACAGGAAGACTGAATGATTTACATTATTTTTTTTATTGATACAATAAATAAAATAAAAAATGCATATTTTTTAAATAAAAAAAAATGCATATTTGATCAAATTGTTATACATTGAATAACAATGTATTTAATGCTTTTAAAAGCATTAAAAGTACCAGCTATTTTTGTTAAACCCATTTCTCTTGTCATTTCCCATGACATGAGAAATGTACATAATTTCCCAAGGCATTCAATATAAGAAAATGTTTATGTCCACTGTATGTAAAAGTTTTGTGTTTTTCTTTAATTTAAAACTGAAATAGAAATAGAATGGTGATTCCCTGTTTTTTAAAATTGCAACAAATTCCCTGAAGAATAATTTAAATGCTATCTTGTATCATTTGCAGCTCAAAGCAACTTTTATTTTAGCTGGACCGAGGGCAAAAATAGCTCTTTTGAAAGTCAAGGTTGAAAATCTTAGGGAGAAACTAAGACATTTATAATAAAAACGAAACAAATTACTCTAGGAAGAAGTTTTAGATATTCAGTATCAGTGAATACTGAATATTCCTGCTTTTTGTAAAGCATGTCAAAGCTTTACAAAAAGCATATTGGAAATCAGTTCTGTATTAAACAAGGCGTCAGCCATGTCAGCACTCAGCAGGTTCTCACCTGTGATTTCAGCAGAGAGCTGACAGGTCCCAGCGCTGTTGTTCTCCTCGCCTCCTTCCCCCAGGGCCAGCTCTGCAGGAGCCTCTTCATTACCCTGAAAAGTACACATGCATATGGCACATTATAGCAAAATAAGTAACATTCAACTTCCAGGTTACTGTTACTTTCTGAGAGCTCTGCATCATACCTTAGCCAAATCCTCCTTGGTCTCATTCATGCTGCCTTGATTGCTGGATTGGGTGAAGCTCTCCGTCAGATTTGTACTCTGCAGACTGAGGTAAAGAGATTTACAGTAAGAAGAAGAAGGGGAAAAAACCAACCGAGTCAACGATGAAAACACATGAGCAGCTCTGAGCAACAGGTTACCTGCCCGGCGGTTCGCTGTCGCAATGATGGGAGGTAACTCCGGGGAAGGAGGAAAAGGACAAGGATGACAGCCGAGACTGGAGCTCAGATGTAGCTTCTAATCTCGCCATGGCTGTCATGACAAGACAAATACCTCTGACTGCGGGGCTGGAAGAGAGGAAAGACCGCCCCTCAGAGCCAGCACAGGGAGGAGGGAGAGACAAGTTAGCCTCTTTACACAACCTGGAACCAAAGCATACAGAAATCAGTCTACTAACCACAACTAAAGCGAAGAGTAATCCTTCTACGTCTCGGTTCAGGCTTTCCTTTACTTGTTTGCTCTTCCTTTAGCTTACATCTGGCTAGCCATTAGCTACACAGAGAGCAGTGAAAGTGAAGCCGACCTTTTCTTACCACAACGTAAGACTGACAGTCCGATTTAACGCACTCAAATCCCACTCAGGTCATTAAAAATGTACCTCCATATCCCTTCAATCATGTGACGACTATCCACACAGCGCTGCTTCTTCTCAGGAAAAAAAAAAACACCGACGCGAATTTCGGACTTCCGTTTTGTTCCGAGCGTCGACGGAAATATACGAATACACTGACGAAGAAGCGAGGTCTCTTCTGCTGCAGCAGCAGCTCTGCAGAAAACAGAGGAAACATGCAGAAGTGAATGGAAACCAGCTACATTTACCTGAGTAACTTTTGGGGGAAAAAATTACGTTAAGAGTAGTTTTACTTTATTGTAATTTTTACTTTTTTTAATCTCCATATGCTACTCTTGAGGAAGATCTTTGGATACTCAAATCAGGAAACTTCATTGACTGAAGAACAAACGTGTTTTTCACAAAAAATGCACAAGACACAGAAAATTTTGATGGAAAAATGACTTCTTCTGCTTATTTAGGTTTTTTATTTATTTTGTAATCATATTATGTAACTTTTTCATTTTAGTTTCAAAAATACCAGCATTTGCACATAATTTTTAGTCTGTTTGATGATATCATTTTTAAATATCAAATAAAATGTTAATACAAGTTAATCAGAATTTATTAAGTAGCTTTTCTGCCAAATTATATTTTACTCCAACTTGAGTAATTTCCTGGACAGCAACTTATCACTTTGAGTAGCCCTGCTATTTCCTCACCTCTGAAAACATGTTGTTTATGGTAACAAAAAGGAAATCTGACTTTTCTTTTTTTTTTGTAGAAAAGCTGAAAATACAGTTTCAAAAGCCAGAAGCATTTTACACTGAGTGACAACAAATAGTTTAGTGATTTTAGGGATAAATTATAACACTGAAGTGGGTAGAGTACCCAAAAAAGTGCAATTTTGGTTTCAACATTATTGTTCTTCTTTCATTTGAGTTATTAATGATGAGAAGAGTATTTATTACTTAAGTAATAGTAGCAATGATCAATAATTTTATTCATGTAAAAGAAAAGATGGTGCAATAAAACTAGTTCTAAAAGTATTTTCTTCCCAAAATGTTATTGCAAATGTAGCGCAGTAGTAACTATCCACCACTCGATCAATTTCAAAGAAAATCACTTAGTTCTTTTAATCAAATGATTGATTTTACATCTTTAACAGCTTTATGTTGGAAGTGAAATATGTATTTTACACCTTGAATAAAATAAAAGAAAAGCAAATCTGTGTTCTGTACTGTTTTTACATTTTAAACCTCTACAAAAATGCACATCTTTGTTAGTAATTTTTGTTGCTGGTGGTCACAGTGATTAGAAATGACCTCATCCTCAATATTAATTCTAAATAGATGGAAATGAATGAGAACAAATTTACTGGAATTTCAATGTCTCAATCCACACAAACATCCTGCAAATATATTAGGGTACAAATGCAGCAAGACACCACAAGGCAAGCATTATTATTGACAGTTAATGGCTTAAAAATAAAGAAAATGTTGGCTGTGACATAATATAAAGGAATAATCATTATAAAAGTACAAACATGGCATATAAAACCAGTTGCAGTCTTTACATTCTTGTATTACAACAAAATAAGAACTGTTGCATATATTTAAAAAAATTAAATCAAGTGAGGCTTTATTTCAGAAAAAAAATCCTTATATCATTAAAAGATATCACATAATTTGCTTTATGCTATTTAACAACACTCATTGAGACAAATTAAATACCAGAAAAAAGCTACATCAAGTTTTACAAAATGCAATTAGAAAATGTTATTCTAAACTATGTGTTAGATATTGACATGTTCTCCATATTGGGATGTAATCTTGTCATTTTATTGTGCTTTTCAGGTATGATTTGTATGTTGTAAAGATGTTTTCTTGAACTGTTTTGCTGTTCATTACAAAGTGCAGCAGTGGTGTCATCGTGGTTTGAGTGTCAACGAGAGAAATCCAGGGAAAAGACCTTTGTTGAGTAAAGAAAAACATATTAACCTTTTGTTAATTAGTTCTTTCTTTTTATATTTTTTTGTATTGTAATTATTCATGTAGCAAAGGTTAAATGCAATATCGCATCCTACACCAACTCACTCATTTGGATGGAGAAAAGATGTGGAAGCGATGAAACTCTCTGCATTTAAAGTCTCGTTGTTCATACAATTCTCTGCAAATATGCTGTTAATTAGAGAAAGAGCCTCTCTGGATCCCAGACAGACATGGGTGCAGATGTTTAACAGGCTGTACAACACTCCACATACCCAATTCAGGCCTAGAGTGATGCCACCTACAGTTTAAAATCAACATAATTTAGTATAAAAAATAACTTTATGAAAATTAACATTCAACTTCAAAGAGTTCTCACCAACCTTTCACAGCGAAAGGACATGATGCCTCTATCAGTGATGGATCTGACAAGCCTTCGGTTACACGGGAGCAGGACAGCCACAGGTCTGAGGTGTCGCACGGTTCCACCTGATACTGTGGTTTCAGAATAAAACTGTGGTTGAGACGTTCAGCTAGACTGAGATAAAAAATAAATAAATAAACAAGAGCGAGAGATTAATCACGTTTGCATCAAAACAGCACGTTGCCAGCCTGCATAAGTGTGTATACCGGTTGACAGGCACAGCTGTGATGAAACTGTAGACAAGGCAGTGCTTTTGCAGATGAGAATGGAGATCAGCACAGATTCTGTCAAAGTGAGAAGGCAAACAGCAGAGGAACAAAACATCCGCCCAGGCTGCCAGACAGCGATTGTCGAAGAAGCACTCGACTCCTGGTGGGACACACTCCTCTGAAACACACACATTTGTTACACTGCTGGTGAAAAAAGAAGTGAGCCGAATCTGTAGTGAAATATAGAAGTGGTTTGCTGGATTACTTACTATTTTTCCCCTTAAACAACTTTGTACCACTACAACTTTTTTTATCCTTTGTCACGTCAGAGCCACAAATTTGTATTTTATATAATTATGCGTACCTGCCAAATTAGCTTATGGTTTTCTATTTATTTATTATGAATATTTAAAATATCTTCCAGTTCCAGTATGAAATGTTCCTTGGAAATTAAGTTTATTTATCTTTGAGAGGTTGTACTTGGATTGTTATGCTGTTGTCATTATAAAATCTGAAAATGGTATCAAAACTACAATGTAATTTTTTAATTGCAACAAACTATTTTGACAATTTTACATCCAGCAACATTATGTGCTTTTGTGACCTCAAGTTGAGACCATTTTGAAGCACAATTCTTTTAACGTCCTGAGACTTAATGCTGTTTAAAGAAGATTAAATCAACTTTAGTGATTATCTGAGTAACTAGTGTGGAAGGAGAGAGACATTTGGGTTGAGAAATGTATGTTGTTTAAACACAAATACAAAAAGAGGTAGATATGCAGTTATGGGTCATCTTTTCTTCCATCCTTGTTTTTAAGCTAAATTGATGAAGAATAAAAGGTGAAGTCATTCATTTTTGCAGGAGGAACAACATATTTACTTTGGAGTCACCATACTTGCTGGGTTTCTCGTGGAGATCTTAATCTGTTTGGGTCTGATGGTGGTCTTTTTAAGGAGGCAGAGTAGCAGCTGTTTCCCCAGGGTACCTAGACCAAGTATCCCCACAGAGAGTTCATCAAGCCTTTTTGATGCATATAAGTCGTTGGCAGCAGTCCTCCTTTTTATGATGCATCTGGAAACATCACAGCAACCTTATCGTTCATGTGAGGTACAAACTGTTTAAGATATTAAGTTAGGTCAGAGTTTTTGCTAAAATCAGCCAGTCTCACTTTAGATATAAACACCTGTAGAACATCTTGGGATCCATTTTTAGATGTATTTTATGGTGAAAAAAAAAAAAGTAATTTAGGAAAAAATAAAATTTTCCTGGTAATATCTAATATAAGGCCTAATACAACTGATCAGATTTCTTTTGAGCTCATCCAGTAAAGCTTCGTACAAGTGATACAAGCACAATATAATATGCTCTTAGTGCATGCTGTATTAATATAAATAATAATTATTTCAAAAATTATTAATATCAGGTAGATTTATGAATGGGGATTGCTTTAAAAAAAACTTTCAAACTAAGCTGTATAATCAATTATTTGAATTCCTTTCTTAGACAGGAACCCAGTTCCTCCATTATTATTATTATTATTATTATTATTATTATTATCATCGTCACAGTTCTGATTACAGACACTCTCAGTGAGTGAATAATGAAGTCCATACTTCATTATCCGCCTGCGATAAATTTAAGCCGCATATTTAACATTTTAATACACTAACGACTCGGTTTAAGCAGGCAGCTTACTTACTTTAATGAGTGCACCAACTCGCATACAAAAACTGCGTGCGCGCACCCGCAAAACGTCAGTCCGGCGGAGCGCGCACGGAGGTAAACTAGCTTCTTCTCATCAACGGTGAGTTCTGCCTCAATGGATAAAATAGTCAAACCAGAGCAGATGTCCGTCATACCCCGTCAGCTTGATGTGAGGCTGTTAACATGGTTGACTTGTCTACAGAAAGCGGCATTGTGTTGTCATAGTAACACCAACTTTGGATTTGAAGACGTTCTCCCACATTTTTCACACCAACAACTATCAACTACACATGGTCAATTTTAATGAGTTTAGACGAAGGTAAGCATTATACCGTAAATACTTAGATTTTTAAAAATCATTTGCAAGCCTGTGACGTAAAGGCGTGCCGAAGATATGGCGTTTATGTTTTAAAAATCATAATCCAGTCTAACAGTTATGGTCTCTGTAGTGACATAAAAAATGATGCACATGATCTGAAGAGTTTATTTCGCATTTACCTATTTAATACAATTATTACATTACACTTATGCCCAAGAAAAAAATATTCTTCCCACATTAACAACAAAATATGCAAATCTTACATGTGTGACACAAATTATCACAACATCCATATTCATTCATTTAAATAAAAGCGGTCGATAAGACATGAGAGATGTAGATAAATCATTTTTGTAAAAAGCTGTAACTAAAGGAAAACAAAATACTTAAAAGTGACTTTTTGAATAGCAGCTTTTGTGAAAATAGCAAAACCTTACAGGTCAAAATAAACCAGTTGCAGCTGTACAATGTGTTTGGATTACCTTCCTGTTCATTTACTTGGACATGTAATCCTTAAAGTCACTTAAAAGTGCTTATTAAATAACTTTACACACTTTTGACACATTCGATTTCAGTTCTTGTCTTAAATTTGCATGGATTACAAAGTTGGAATATTTACAGTAAATAACATATAACATGTAATAAATTAAACCTCATACTCTAGTTTTTGTAGTGGTAGGATAAGAACACTATCTGTAAACAGAGCTGCTTGAAAAGGAAGCTAATGAGATGACCTGTCACAATTCTGCTTTCTAATCTGACAATTTACGTCAGATCAGAATGATATGTGGCTTGCACATTTATAATTTATGTAATCCATTTACTGATGACCATGAAGGCACTGTGAGGGAACCGTTAGCCGGATGGCATCAGGTCACACTGCCACAGGATGAGACTGTTTTTATTTACACCAGAAGTTACTGCTAGCCTTTCCTCAAACACAAACAAACGTTCCTCCCTTTACAGTCATGGTTTCATAGCAGTAAGAATCACTCCTCCTCATGCCTCCATTTCTGTGACTCCTCCTGACGCGCATCGGGGTGAATCTGGTTCCTCATCCCACCCAAGACGTTAGACGTGGCTTCAGTGGCCATGATGAGTGGCCTGACTACAGCTGGTGGCAGCTGGCGGAGGACTCCGCCGACCGCTCCCGTCATCCCACGCTGCTCATGCTCCCGTGTCGCCGTGTCATAAAGAGTCAGCGCGGTGTCTGTGATGCCCTGTGGGAGGAGACAGCATACAGTTCTCCTCAGAAGTTCACATGCGGTCATTACCCAACATGAATATCACCTTATTGATGCTGTTCTTTCAGGGTGGAATGGAAAGATGTAATTTATAGTGAATTCTCTTTGTTTATATTTATTCACTTATTTAAAACTATTTTTTGAAAACATCAAGCAGGACAAGAGAAAACATACACACATAATCAGGAACAAAATAATTAGCTAGATATCTGTTTGAAAAGGAGTAGGAACACTTATTTAATCCTACCCTTTATCACAATTAAATTAAATATACTATTTGCCGACTTTAATCCACACATAGTAAGAATTATACATACAGGCCCAAAAATATACATACATTCCATAAAAATTTGCTTAAATGTTATTTTTTTTATACTGTGTGAACTAGAAAAAGTTCACAACAAATTGAAACTTGTGCTTCTTTTAAGTGTATGAAAACGCCTTTGATTTTAGCAGTATATATTCAAGAGGAATGATAAGATAAGCTATTGCTTACTTCTTTCACCACAGTGTAAGCTTTGGCTACACCTTCTCTCAAGTCCACAGGCTGATGAGCAAGGCCATAATGGGAGTACCGTTTTACCCTCTTTGTGTCTCTCTCGTCAGGTACTGGAGAAACCATGTCATAAGCTGTCTCAGCTGCTGCCTAAAGAAACCAAATTTGAACAAATTAAAATAAAATAAATGTGTTTTTCCTTCAAGAAAATGAGATGCAAATGCTGTGAAGTTTACTGGTAAGCGGTCTGTTTTTGAAGTTGAGCTGAAGCAGAAACATTTGTTGAAGTCTAGATCACATTGCAAATATCAGAAGAGTATAAATATTGGAAAGAATAGTTCTGTATTAGCACTGAGCAGAAGCTGAAACAAAAAACTACAGCAGATGCTGAAACTGATCTGGCTTAAGTAGTTAAAGAGCTGAAGTCTCAAATTAGCATTAGAGATAGCTGCAGAAAAACAGAAACCAAAAAAATGTAATGCACTGCTGAAATTAAGTTGAAATCTAATTAAATTGCTCGACAAACCCCCTAAAAAAACAGAACAAAAACAAGGCTTGTGTTAGATTGTGTAATTTGACATCATCATCAGCTGTAACTCCATGCATTTGTGCTATTCAGAATTTTCTTTAATTCTCAATGTCCCTCTTCAAAACAACATCTAATCTCTGATTGTGGTTTTCTGTGTGAAAGTCTGTGGAAATGCTGGTCAAATGTTTATACGTGTATTTCTCTATTCATTGCATTTGTGTAAATGACCTAAAGTATATCTCTTTATGTCGCTTAAGTTAGCTCAAATTAAGAACACATAGACCAGGTGTCCCTTTTGCCCCTTGCTCTTTAAAGTAATCATGGCTACAGCAGCAGGTGTGTTCGTTTTGATGGAACTTCTTGGAAAACCCGATCTGATATTTGGTCAAGTGGATTGCATGTTTCTGTTTCTGAATCATGTAGTTCAAATACATTAAAACACTGTTCTACAAAAGTCGCTGCATGCAAAAGAAGACAACTTTTTCAACATCTTATTGTACAGTTTTGCGATGTTTACGTAAACGTGTGGGAGGAGGAATTATTTGCTCAGCTGAACACTAAAGTGGATGATGTCATCACCTATATATGCAAAAAATGCAGTTTTTGCTCAAAACCATAATGACATCTAAAGTTTGACGATGCTATATTGCTGAAGCATTTAATAACTCAATATGATGTGTTTGAAATCTGAATGTTGCTTATAAAAATAAGGGAATTCTTTTCAAAGATCAGAACAAGTCTGCTGACTGTAAATGCTTTATAGTTTTCACATTAGTTTTCAGTACGAGAGTGAAAGTATTCAGAACTAATTTACCTGGATGGTCCGCACCATCCTGTTTGTGAGCTCCAAAGCAGCCATGGCTGTGGAGGTCCCGAAGGAGGCCGTGCCACGCTGAAATCCCCGGACTATCCGGCCATCCTTTCTGTACTGCTCAATCGGGAGCCACACTAGGTCCCTCAGGCCGTGAACTGAACAGAACAAAAAGTTCACTTCACATGAACAGAAATCCCCAAGTTATCCCAGCCTCAGAGGTAACATGCAAAAAAACAAAAAAGCATTAGATGCCAGGATGACAGTGTAGTTGTATGAGGAACACATGTAAATGAGCTGGATCCAGAAGTCATTGCTCACCCAGTTTCACAAGAGTGTGAATAGGTGCCACACCACTTAATATTCCTTGAAGCTGATTGGTCTTTATGTCATTTAGCCACTCATTTATTGCATAGGAAAACAGCTTGTCCACGCCAAGTAATCTGAAACACAAAGAAGTGTGAGTTTAGTCTGAAAAATAGGCCATGGTCACAAAGGCAGCACATGCAGCAATGGATCACTGTCTCATAAGACATTCAGGTAACACACCCTTGTCTATAGCAGAGTTGCCGCAGTTTTAGTTCTGAACAATTTAGCTGTGTCAGCCCAAAGACGATTCCTGCAAATGTTCCCTGAAACAAGATATCAACCCAATTATTAATAAAAATTATTTTAAGATTTAAAAAAAAATCATTCATGCACTTTTGTGTCAGATCACATACCTGATCCATCGACACATGTTTCCCATGGTAATCCAGTCGAATTGGAACCTCACAAGTGAACCGAAATTCTCTGAAAAGAGAACACAGGATTAAATACAAACATTCTGTTTTGCAATTATTTTTGGCTTAAAGTGTTTTTAGTTTCCACTGACCTGAAGAAGATCGGTTGGTCTGAAAAGGGAGAGGAAGAAGCTTCGCCATCATTTGCTTCCTCCCTACCCGACGTTGAGAAAGTATTGATGCCGATTTGCCTCTGAGCAGGAACTGAAATAATCGGGGCTGGATCCTGACTGCCAGCAGTTTGTTTGGAGAAGCTGCAGGAGATTTCGGGGGCAGCGACTTTCTTTGTTGTAACACAAACAGCTGAGGAAAGAAAAAGTCAGGAATAGTCATGAGGAGTGGAACTGTATTAAAATGCACAACTGTAAAAGTGCCAGTTGATTATTGGGCTTACTTTCTTGAGCAGGAGGGGAGAAAAACTCCACTTCATTTGCAAGACTACTAAAGAAATCCTTCAAGAAGAACAGCGCGTCCTTTAAGAAAACCAAAAATAATAGGTTATCGAGTAGGCTCAACATTTTTAACATTGCAAACATCTACATCTGATTGTTATACCTGATCAATATTGAGGCGAAGAGGCATTAGAGAAACACGCAAGGAGCACTCAGGAGGTGCTTGGCCTGACTCGGGACACGTATGCAAAGCCTTAACTGTCAACTAAGAACAACAAGTACTCATGAAGTTCCAGGAATTCACAAACCTAACTAAGGTCATAGTGTGTCGCCAGTCTCACCATGTTTGAATGGGCTTTTCGAGGCATTTCCTTGCTAGAGTACAAGTACAGGAACTTGTTCATCTGTGAGGTAGCGAGTCTGTCCCGAATCTCCAAGTCCTGCACAGCAAACACCTGGCGGGACACTGGCTGGTCCATCGCTGGACGAGATGCTACAGGGGTCTGTGGGTACACCTCATGCTGAAATCTCACCTGATTTCAGCATGGAGAAGTTAAATACTGAAGGAATCACCATAACATTTAGAAAGAGCAACATGATTCTAATGAACGTGGGATGCACA